GATACACAACAAGCCGCAACTAAAGCGGCAGCCGAACAATGCCGCACAGCACGAGGGGGACGGGTAGTGTGGGGGGGGGGAGGCAGAGGGGTAGGGGTTACGGTTAGGTAGACGTCTACTAATGACCATAATTGCGCGCAGCTCACAAATAAGTCGGCAACATCTCTTCGGCTATTCACTTAGGCCCCTAAACACAGACATTAACACCTGATACGCCTGCGCAGCCGGGCAGGTGAGCGGGTGGGGGTGGTTGGACTGTAAAGGTGTTTTCCTTGCCGCGCCCTCATTGTTATGGTAAACAGACAGTTTTTCAGACGTCGTCAACGCTGCTGACCGCTGCTTAATTATAAACGCCGCGAACTTAATCTGGAGCGCGGCAGCTGACGTTGGACAATGAATGGCTGCACTGGCCAGAGGGGCACATGTGGAGGGCAGGGAAGGGCAGGGGGGCGGGGGGAGTTTTGCTTTGTAATGCCGCCGCCGGTTGGCTGCCACCTGCCACCGGGCACCTCTTGGCCTGAGCTTCGAGCAATTGTTGGCGCAAAATGCGCACAAGAGTTGCCAAACAAATTCTTTTGTTATTTAATTGTAACCAAATTATTTCCACACGCTCGCGCGACTCCATTGTTCCCCCTTTCCAGTGGCTCGAATTGAAGGGGGGGCGGCGGCGGCGCAGGGTGCGAAGGTGAGTCGATCTTTATCGCATTCAGTTTACACAAAAATTTCGCTCCTAATGAGCGATTTTGAACATTGTAATTCATGACAGACTCGCTGCCTGCCTTTTCATGTGGTTTCCATGTCGAGTCTGGAAGTCTTTCGGTTTTCCAAATCCCCAAACAGTTGCAGACGGCGGCGGCGGCGACGATGACGATGACGAACCATTTGCCAAATGGGTGTGGCCCTGGCGGAGGGCGTGACTGGGTTGTTAAGCGTGCAGTTTCTCTCCCTCTCCCTCTCTCTCTCCATTTTGGTAACAACATTCCAATTGAAGCTTTTGTTTCCCCCCATTTTGATCTAATTGCAGTAGCCAGCCTTTTGGCCACAATCTATTTACACACAAGTTGCCAGCTCACTTGAGCCATGAGCTGTTTTTTTTTTATCTAGACAATCCACAAGAGACAGGCCTATTCGGTTTTATAGTTATATATTATATATTTCATGTCCTAATAGTTGAAAAATCATTAGAACATTTGCCTTTATCATAGAAAATATATGCCCTTACGGAGGCTCGAACCCCAAACTTCGTGCTCAAAGCGTTTGATTGGAGCATGTCTAAGAAAATAGATAATAGCATTGTGCTTAACTGTTTGGGAATTTTAAGTGCCAGCTTTGTCGAATGTAGACTGAGGCAAATGCGAACTTTTCACGGGAATAAGTTGGGAAAATCAAATAATAATAAAATAAGGACGTCAGAAAGAAAATAAATATACAAATTATATAAAAAGCTATAAATATTAAGTGGCATATGATTATTAAGAGACCTTATGTCTGCAAATTACTTGAATAACTCCCAACTAACCAACTTGGCGGAATGCATTGGAATTATTTGACTGATTAAATCAATTAATTAAGTTCAATTTTACTTATAATCAAATAATATTAAAAAATCAAAAATATAAGAATAATTAAATCATTCAATTATTAGGTCGAATTTTATCTATAATAATGTTTATAATTATCTATTTTTAGGAAGAATGTTATGCATAATAATATTTATGACATTCCTTTCAAAGATAATCACTTTAAATTTCTATAAATTTAAATATATATTTTTTGTGCCAAATTCACGGCGATTCGAACCCTCAGCCTGCCGAAGCTTAGCCCACATAAGTCAGGCCCAGTTAATCAGTTGATTTCTATTAAACTGGCCACACGATGAATCTTCTCATTGCAACTGCCGCAGTCGCAGTTTATAAATCATAACAACAAGAACCAGAAAAACTGGCGCCATTTGCCGCGATCTATGTGGATCTTACACACATCTGTGCTATGTCCATCGAACAGATGAGTTTCTTGAACTTCGGCGAGATCTTCATCTTCAGTCATGCGGACGCATTCAGCTTAACTGGCAATTGCGGCAACTATATGTGACATCATATATAAGGATAATTCACTCGAAATGTTTATACAGAGAGCATAATCCGTCGCGTAAGGCGAACAAATTGATGGAACAGATTCTTAGCTGAGATGGCTCGCGAACTGGCTTCTCGTCAGCTTTTCAGCTTTTTTTTTTTTTTACGTGGAATTGAGACAAACAAATAAATTTACTTTGATTGAATAATGGTCGCATAATTGGCAACTTGAATGGAATTGAGTAGCAGGCAAAACATATGCCACAAAGCCCAATTGAAATTGCAACAACACAATGTTGCAACCAGATAAGACATGAACATATATAAGTACATATGTCTCGTCTATATATATATATACGATGTGTGGTACTTCTATCTAAATGCGCGCATTAACTAACTGAATTGGATAATCTCATTCTGATTCTGATTCTTATGCTCAGCTACTGGGCATACACAAAACAATTGCAAGCATACGCGGCGGAAAGGCAAGACTTTCAGATACCCTCAACTGAAGGCAATAAGAATCAAGGTATTGATATTTTTTCTTTTGCGAATTTGAGTTATTTTTTAAATGACTTAGGCATATAAGAGCCTACATACCAAATTTTCCGTCTCTAGTTCGTCTAGTCTCCGAGTTCGTTGAGGCTAGATGAACTCAGATCTTAAGTCTTTATACTTTATGAAGTCAAGAAGAATTCCACATTCTTAAGATACCCTTTTTGAAGAGCTACTCTGATTGCAGAGTATGGAAAGCAAGAACGAACGCAAGATTGCATAGTGTCTGTTTTTTTTATTTTATTTCTTCAACTTGTCCCAGAACATATATGGGTAAAGCGTTCTCTAGTAACTCTGGTATTCGTAGACCGATCTTTATGAAAATATCAGGAATCAAATATAGCATATAAAAGTTAACGTATACTAAAGCTCAAAGCGCTGCCAAAAAAATTGAAGATTTTGCCAATTTTAAAGGGATTGGAGGCAGGAATCTGAAAATTAAAACTTTCTTAATTCCCATGCAATACAATAACCTACACGTCCTCGAGATATGTTTAAGAAATTAAGTAATAAAATCTATATTTATCGATGGGAATAGGGAATGGAAACAGATATCGATATCGATGAATATATATACCACATTTAAACTCTCTAGCAACACAAATATAAATCTATATGCTTTAGGAGATGCTTCCATCTGAAACATCAAACCCCTTTTAGGCATTTTGCCTTGGCTTCAGGGTATGGATATGACTAAACTGGCGACTGGCGTCGCATTGTCGCCAATTGTAGTCGAAGATTTTGTTAAATTGAAATGTGCAACTGTGAAATGTCAGGCGACAATTGTCAACTAGATGGATGCGACATTTCACATACGCTCCCCCCCCCCCCTCCCCGTTCGCCAGGCCCCCGCCGCCTCAACCAGAAGAACGCACAGTGCAGAGCGCAGATTGAATCTTGAGTCGTGCAGTTTATTAACCTGCAGCCCGAATGAATCATGCGTTTGGGCAACCGGCGCAGCTTGTGGAACCAGTAGCCGAAGCGAATAAGAAGAAGAAAAGCAAGGGCTAGCAGGGGCGGCAAGTTACATACACTTGGCAACTTGGAAGACGAACGGCCGAGCTGCTGCCACTTGTTCTTGCAACACCTTTCTAAAAGTTAAAGACTTTTTAACTTCTTTGAATGCCACACTTATTCAATCTACTGGAAGTCGGAGATTGTCCTCAAAAGAGAGTACAGAAAATGGGCCGAAGAATGTTTATATTATTTAAGATGTAAAAACTATAAAGAGTTCTTTGATTGGGCGTGTCCGACTGGACTATACCCTGCAGGTAGCGCCTAGTTGCCGCCTCTCATGCGTCCGCTCTGCTTCTTCTTCTTTATATCCCAGACTATTTATGGGAAATGCTTTCTTGATTAACTCGAGTCTTAAAAGTACGATTTTTATGAAATTGGCAGAGCTTAAATTTGGCGTAGAAAAGTGTGTACATACCAAAGCGCAGGGCTTTATCTTCAAAAATGTGTTTTTATCAATTTTGAAGTGAAATTTTGGAAGATATATAAAAAGTAAATTATTTTTTATAATTATATACTATAGAAAATACTACACACCAAATTTGGTGCATTTCGCTCCTATAATCTTCGAGTTATGCTTAAATAACCAAGTCTCAAAATCGATATTTATCAATATTTTAGAAATAAGAGGAGGAAATATCTTAAGCATGTTGCACGTGTTCTCTAGGGTAATTGCTTATATAATTCGCATATTTCTTAAGCCTTACTACAGGCTTTCAACTTCCCTAGCTAGTCTTTAACTATATTAATCTATTGCCAGTCCAAAGCCCACTTCATTCCATGTGGCTGCGTTTTTCACAGATCAACGCCAACGCCGAATGCCTTTTAACTTTTGTAAAATTGTGTCTGGCCCGCATTTCTTGGCGCGCAAACGAAATCCAATGCCCAGACCCATTCCCATATCCATGCCCATTCCCATTTCCACAACCGATGTGCAACCACAACAACAACAACAACAGCAAGAGCAAGAAGTAGAAGAAGAAGAACATAATGACTAGCTGGTCGGTAAAAACAATTTGATCAGCCGCTGCCGAGTTCCGCACGCTCCACGCGCTCCCCTCATTTTGTTGGCGTGTGTGGGACATGCGCTAAAATTTTATTTGATTTGACACTTAACAGTGGCTGTTAGCGCGATTTGTGTGTGTGTGTGCGTGTGTGCGTGTGTGTTAGTGTGTGTGTTGGTGTGCGACTTATTAAGGACTTCCTGTTTGGCCGTCAGCATCTTTTGTCGCGACAACAGATTAATTTAACGCACTGCAGTTCAATTTAGACGCCATTTGGTACAGTTTTTTGTTGTTGTTGTTGCAATTTTCCTTTTTGTGTTTTCTTTTTTTATTTTTTATTTCAATAGAATTTCAATTGTTTTATGTCTGCCTTCTAAAGTACACAATAATCAGTTTAATAATAATAATAATAATATAAATTAAATAGTGCTTAGTTTCAATTGCCTGCTGCGCTTAAGTATCGTTATCGTAATCGTAATCGTTATCGTAATCGTAATCGTTATCGAAACAGAGTACGTTCTTTTATGTATATGAGAAATACCCTTGCAGGAGTCTATAGAATTAGGCATAAGAAATTTAATTACATTTTAATGAGAATCTTTTTTATAACGCGTCCAAATAAAGTTGAAATTCTTAGAAAACATTCTGTTAATGAAAGCTTAAAAGTTTATATTGGCCCCCTTTCATTGATTTTTAGAAAAAACAATATGAAATATATTTTCATAGATCGCACTCAAGATATATTTAATCTAAGCTTTGGAATAACGCCAAGAAATGCAATTTTGTTGAATGTCTTGAAAGAATACTCAGGAATTTCGATCTGTGAACCCATTCCATATATTGCGCTAAATCCACGCAATTGTGCGGAAAGCATGGAAAATATGGATCGAATGTGTTAAAGCAAGCGATTCCTGGAGACCTTTTCTAAGTAATTTAAGCCTTAATTGGAAATTGATGTGTGTAACCTTGTGAAATATATTACAATAGATCATTTTTTTTACTTTTGACCAAAGGGAGAGATTTTCACTTGAATAGATTTCTAGGAATTACTATATAATTTTGAAGACGTCAGCTAAACTTAAATATTATTTATAATATTCAACAATGGGAATATATATATATATATTATAGGAATATTAGAATATAAACAAAGTTTAACTTTTTGAGAAAAGCAGGAAGAATTTCGAAGAATTTCGCTCAATGCAAAAATAAGTGAAATTTAGATAATGTTTTTTAGATGCCTGGCGATATTTAGTATACAACTTATATTTTCAGATAATTTTAAATTAGTTAGTTTATTTTAGAAATTTGTCAATATTCGGATTCCTCATCTCTTTCCATTTAGAGCTCTCCCAAGTATTTGAGCTTCTGCAAGGATATTTCAAGAGGGTTATCTTAAGTCTGTGCTGCGCTGCAAGGGTATTTAAGCTTCGGCTAGCCGAAGTCGCTGCTCTGCCTCTCTATTTACAAGCGTCTAGCGCCTCAGTCGCGGCTGTTTTCTATATACAACGAATACTTTATACACTGCCACCCGCACGCTTCAGCTGTTGCGGCTAACAACTGTGACGGGCTTCAGCTGCGGTCCCGGCGAACGGGAGCTGGCCTCCCCGTGCCCCTGCTGCAACTGCTGCTGTAGATTGGGCGAGGAGGGCGGCTGGCCGAGATGCGTCATGTGCGGCTGCGGCGCCGGCGCCGTTGGCATCGCTGCGCTCAGCTGCCTCTGATGCGCCGCCAGCGCAGCGGCAGCAGCATGCTGATGCAGCAGCTGCTGATACTGCAGCCGTTGATACAGCTCCTGGCTGCTGGCGGGGCTGACGAACGGCGGCGGCGGCGGTGGGGGGCCCGGCGCTGGGCAGCCAGGTAGCAGGCCCGCTGCCGCTGCCGGACTCTTGGGCGCAAACGGATTGTAGCGCTGATACATGCTGGCCAGCAGGCTGGGCGCCGCCTGGGGATAGGTGAGGAACTGTCCGAATTGTGGATATGCCGCCAGGCCGGGAAACATCGGTCCGATGAGGGAGCGCTTGAAGGCCGCCAGGCGGGAACGGCTGGCGGCGGTGGTGCGACGTCGCAGCTTGCCGGTGGAGCCGCCAATGAAGACATCCTCCGCGGATGGATCCAGCATCCAGTAGTTGCCCTTGCCGGGATCATCGTAGTGACGCGGCACCTTCACAAAGCACTTGTTCAGGCTGAGATTGTGCCGGATGGAATTCTGCCAGCCCTGTTTGTTGTCCCGATAATACGGATGATTGGTCATGATGTACTCGTAGATGCCATTCAGGGTGAGACGTTTCTCCTGGCTCTGTCGGATGGCCATCATGATGAGCGCATTGTAGCTATACGGCGGCTTCTCGTTGCCCTTCTTATCCTTGATGGGTTTGCCGTCCGTTGATTTCGTCTCCGAATCGTTATCACATTCCACATCCTCATCAGCATCGCCATCTCCATCCGCCTCTGCATCTACATCTGCATCTGCATCTGCATCCGCATCTTCATCATCTGGTTCGTCCTCGGCGGCGGGCGGCGCTGGCGACATGGAGGTCACATCCAAATCCGATTCCACGTCGCTGTCCGGCTCCGAGCCCAGCGGTGAGCCATTGTTGTTGTTGTTGTTGTTATTGTTATTGTTGTTGTTGTTAAACTTTTGTGCCGCCTGCTGTTGATCCTGCTGCTCCCGCTGCTCATCCTGCTCCACCGTCTCCGGCAATATGGCATTTATCGAGAAACTGGACTTCAGATGCGGCGTCCGCGCCATTTTCATGAGCAGCGTGGCCGGCGTCAGATTCAGATTCAGATTCAATGCGCCGACGGCACTCAGATGCGGATGCGGATGTGGATGCGGATGCGGATGCGTGTGTGGTTGCGGCTGTGGATGGTGTGTGTGCGGCGCGTGATTGTGTGGATGATGATGATGTGCGTTGATCTCGTCAACGATTTTCACCATTTTGCACTGCCAATTGTTGCAGAATATTGTTTTGCTTTTTTTTGTTTTGATTTGGTTTGTTTTTGCTAAAGCTGCATTTTAATATATTTTTTTTTAGTTGTAATTAAATTTATATCACAGCGCAGCAAATTGATTGAATGCCGCCCACACGCGTATTCAAATTGGGCACGTTTACGTTTCTGCCATTCGCCGTTGGCCGTTTACCGTTGCACGTTTCTACCGTTGCTCGTGTTCACACGTCCGCTGCGCTGTGGCGTTTTGTGTAGACTAACAAGAATTCGAACAAAAATCTCAATCCAGTTGCTGCGCCTCGCGGCCTTTTGCTGCGAGCGCCGCCACAGCCAATGGCAGCTGTGGATTCTGTTTGCCCTAGCACTCACCCTCTCTTGCTCGCTCGCTCGCTCGCACGCTCAGCATACGGCATACAGCGTGCTCGCTCACGCACGCTCTTAGCTGGCTTGCGCATGTGTGTGTGTGTGTACAGATTTTTAACATTCGCGCTGCTAATTGCTGCTGACACGACACGAACACGCCGGCGACGACGCCGACGCCGACTGGCCTTTGTTTTTGGCTTTTATCGTTTAGTTAGTATTCGTGTGTGTGTGTGTGGAGAGTTGTTAGGGGAAGGGGGCAGGCAGCCGCCACGGCTTGGCCGCGTTGTGGGTTGCATTTTGATACGCCAGGTTTTTCGTATATTCTGCTCTTTTCGCAGCAGCTGCCGCATTTGTAACTGTTTCTAACTGTTGTTGTTGTTGTTGTGAAGGTTCCTTTTAATGGTTTTCTTGTTTTCACACACACACACACACACATATGCACACATATGCACACATGCTTTTGTTTCGGTTTCGGTTTTTGCCCCCTTTCAGAACTCGCAGCGTTTAATAACTATGTGCGAATGCTTTATATAATGTTTATAAAACAGCACTGAAAACAAATACAATGCAAGTTCTCCTGACAAACAGCTGCAGAATTCGAGTTCTAGGTCAAATAATATAGCTTAATATAACAAACATTAAGTCAGGACTACAATTTTCAAAGAAGCTGCCAGAAATCTTGAAAAAATTATTAATTTGCGATTTGTTATAAATAAAATAAGATTTATTTCTCTGTGATTAATAATAAAATAAAGTTTAAGCTACACAAACTAAACGTTGCTGTCAAATTTGAACCAGCTACTTGCCGTTCGTTAGTTCAACGCTTCGTAGCAACCCGCTCCAAGAAGCTCTCACTGTGACTAAAAAAGCCACATTCGGCTAAATTAATTTTATATATGATCTGCGGCTAATTAACTAACGATATTTTGTCAATAACAATAGTTAAACTATTTTTAATGCGATTTAAAGTATTTTCTTTTTTTCTTTTTGAGCAATTAATTTAGCCCATTAAATTCCAATTAGCCTTAATTCCTGCTGCCAAACTGTTTAAGTATACAAAAGTCGTTTTTAACATTTACAATTCAAGCATTTAAGCTGCATTAAGCATTCAATAGATACAAAATGCAAATGCTGTCGTGCTGCCTAACAATTCGATGCAATTTGCTGCAATCGTTGGTTTCGTGGAATCTTTGAGAAGGCAGCGGCAGCTGTTGCCATTCGCAAGCCCGGACATGTGTCCCGCTCGGAAATGCAATCATTTTGTAATCATAATAATTGTTTTCGCTCTTTGGGAGGGGGCGTGAACTCAGCTGTGCTCGTATCTGTGTCTGTGTGTGTGTGTGTGTGTGTGTGTGTGTGGAACATAAAAGAAGGACAACGCGCTCTGATTGGAGCCAAGTGCTGCCAAGGTGTAACATGTTTTACCTGGGCACAAAAATAAGCCAAAAGGAAACTAAAATAAAAATGCAGCGAAAACAACAACAGCAAAAACTACGTAAGTAAATACGTCAGACGCCATGTTGGCCAATTGTTGTAGTGTGTGGATTGTAGCTGTTCTTCTGCTTCTTCTTCTTCGGCTTGTTAAGCAGCCCGCAACGGAATGCGGTCGGCTTGCATGTGTGCGTGCGTGTGTGTGTGCATGGCCCAAACTTATTGGACGTTCGCCTTGCGTGTAGAGTGGAGACATGCGCGCAAAAGCTCCACACACTCACGCTCTCTCGCTCTCGCTCTCGCTCTCTCTCTCTCTCTCTCCCACTCGCGCGTGCACATATAAGCTTAATGGGGGCCCGCAGGTCAAAACAAAATGGCGCACACAACGGCATTTTAATTGCTGGCTGCACTTTCTATCGCGTTTTTCAATTGATTGTGTGTGTTTTGAATTATTGTTGTTGTTCATTGTTTTGGTTAGCTGCTTGCCACAGTTTCCCGTCTCCCCTTAAACGGAGTATATTGGCTTTAGAGGCTATATAAATCTACGAGCGGGTATACCTCGGCCCTGGCCGTGCTAAGCATTAAAAAAATTCTCTCAAAGATTTTAATGGAATGAGATGGAATTTAGCGAAACCAGATTGAGTCATGTTAATTGCAGAGCAAATCACAGTTTGAAAGAATCTTAAATCCTGTGCGGATCAGCAAAAGAACAGTCGAGTACACTAAAGAATCTCTTTCAGCTGATGTGATAACTCCTTTCTTCCTCATTTCGTTTACATTTCCCCAGATGTCAGTTGGTTGATGTTTAGCAGTTCCAATGTTTTTTTTTTTTTATGTTTAACGAAATTCCAGTGAAAGTTTTCAAAATGTCTATGACCAGTTCTCTGACGGTCCTGCTGCTGATTGTCAACATAATGCTCGTAGGTCCTCCGTCCCAGATATATCAATTTATAACACGGCTTAGTTGCAGCTGATATTGCCGTACAGAACGGAGGCTGCGGCTATACGTATGCATGCTCGCACGTTGCGAAAACCAAAGGAGCCCTTGGGGAACGAGGCATGGGACAAGTCCACGCAGAGTCTGAAAATGTATCCACGCAGGATGCGTGCCAAGCAGAGGATTGCCTTTTGGGCGAGGGCCCAGGCCGCCGCGGCAGCTGAAGCAGCTGGAGCAGCAGGAGCAGCAACAGAAGAGGCAGCTGGAGCAGCAGGAGAGGCAGCTGGAGCAGCTGGAGCTGGTGAAGCGGCTGGAGCAGCAGGAGAAGCAGCTGGAGCAGCAGGGGGGACAGCTGGAGCAGCAGGAGAGGCAGCTGGAGCTGGTGGAGCAGCAGGAGCTGGTGAAGCAGCTGGAGCAGCAGGAGAGGCAGCTGGAGCAGCCGGGGGAGCAGCTGGAGCAGCTGGAGCTGGTGGAGCAGCAGGAGCTGGTGAAGCAGCTGGAGCAGCAGGAGGCGCAGGAGAGGCTGCTGGAGCTGCAGGAGGGGCAGGAGGGGCAGGAGGGGCAGGAGAGGCTGCTGGAGCTGCAGGAGGGTCAGGAGAGGCTGCTGGAGCAGCAGGAGGGGAAGGAGAGGCTGCTGGACCGGCAGGAGGGGAAGGAGAGGCTGCTGGAGCAGCAGGAGGGGAAGGAGAGGCTGCTGGAGCAGCAGGAGGGGAAGGAGAGGCTGCTGGAGCAGCAGGAGGGGAAGGAGAGGCTGCTGGACCAGCAGGAGGGGAAGGAGAGGCTGCTGGACCAGCGGGAGGGGAAGGAGAGGCTGCTGGAGGAGCAGGAGGGGAAGGAGAGGCTGCTGGAGGAGCAGGAGGGGCAGCTGCCGCGGCCACTGAAGACACAAAAACCCCAAAAGGTACCGCTGTAATGCACAAGGAACTAACTGTGTCCATACCACGATTCGTTAAAAACGAAAAAGGCGAATGGGTGGTCACCATTTGGGGCATTACCTGGGGCAAAGTTTACCAAGATACTCGATTTAATATGAACAAGCGTTTCACAATTCTACGGCAACAGATCGAGAAAAATATGGTTACGGATTATTATCCAAGGTTCGTTCGGTTTGCCGATACCCGATTTTCAAGTCGATTAATTCAGTTCTCATTAATCCAGCTTCACCAGTCTGAGCACCGTCTGCGTTGGCCGCAGCACAATCTACAATTTGCCCAAGGTCATCGACTACCTTCAGAGATTGGTCTATACCAATGCGCACAAACATCGGCCCATTTGGACAGGCCTCAGGCGACAGATGTATCTGCAGGGCAACAGCGACGAGTGCCATTCACCAAAAATAATCAGATGGCAGGACTATATGGATTGTGCCCTGCGGCGCAATCAAAGAATGGAATACCTGATTCCAAAGTATCCGCTGCATCAAGTTGGCGCCACATACGCTGGCACCGAGACAGTCAAGCGGCGTTCTTAGACAGACCAGAAATGTACATATATCAATGTGTGTTATGTTTATATGAATATGTCGATCTCAATGTATATCGCGTTTATATATTTATGCTAATTTTCTTGACTACAGTGAGCATTCGATATGATGTGCGCCTATCACAATGTTATCTTATCTAATAACAAAACGATCTTATTCAAAAAACTATTGTTGTTAGTTTTGGGTTAAGATATGGCGAATATATTGAAAGCTTCTTCTAGCGGTTCACCCCACATCATATACGCGAAATGCGTTCCCAATTAACTCTGTTGTTGACAGCCAGAACTTGTTGAAGATTTCAGAGCTTAAGTATGACACATAAAAGTGTGTACATACCAAAGCGCAAGGCTCTATCCTTAAAAATTGAGTTCCTTCCCCATTTTCAGGGAAACTGGGAGAGGTATTCAAAAAGTGAACTATTCCCAATCCAAGGTTAAGGGAACCTACATATCAATTTCTAAGTACATCGATCGTATAATCCTCGAGCTTTGCGCCTAAAATCAAGTCTCCAAATGAAAAAGTGAACTATTCCCAATCTGTATTTACCTTAAGGGAACCTACATATCAATTTCTAAGTACATCGATCGCATAATCCTCGAGCTTTGCGCCTTAAGTCAAGTCTCCAAATCAAAAAGTGAACTATTCCCAATCTGCATTTACCTTAAGGGAACCTACATATAAATTTCTAAGTACATCGATTGTATAATCCTCGAGCTTTGCGCCTAAAATCAAGTCTCCAAATCAATATTTATCGCTTTTCGGGGAGAAAATATAGATGAACTAAATCGCTTATATCGATAAACCAGTTCTGAGTATGCCTCAAAGAGATATATATATAAAATGTCATGTCGTCAGCTTTGTAGTTTCCGAAATAGTCAAATTGATAAATCCTTAACAGGCTAGCTCGATAGAAAAAAACAGGAAGCCGTATTTAAACGACAAACAAAACGTCGAATTTTTCATTGACAAAAACTATGGAAATGCAAACAATTTGCTTGTAATACGCGGCTACCGCACATCAAATACGCTAAATCAATACGACGGATTATAGAGTATTCGAGAATCGGTCAACGGGCAGCAAGAGATATTTTCCAGGGGGCGAGAGCACTTTACTAATCAGCCAGATTTATGGCTGGCATTTAGTTTTGTTAGTTTTTCGTATAGACAGTTGACATGCATTTGATATTTGCCCAAAGGGCCAAATAAATCCTTGGGCATCTCTCAACCCGTTCGCTCGGGCCCGCCCTTGCACCGCTGATCGCGATGTCCTTCCGGGTAGACATCGGCCCGGTTTATTTTGATAGACTCAATGGCAGTTTAACCGCAGGATTAGCTTGTTTGTCCGGCGGATCAACGCGACGGCATGCAAACAGAGCGGCGGCTACCTATGCGTGGGCGTGTCCGACTACCTGGCTTAAATGTCATATATATGTGTGTGTGTGTATAGGCTATGGGCTGGCGGGTAACGGGTTAAGCAGGACATCGGCTTCCGTTGTTTATATTGTCTGTTTACATGGCAGGCAGAAGGACCCAGGACTCGAGTCGCGCACAGTAGCCACACACAATTGAGCTGCAAATTGGTCTTACCTACGCCCAGGACTCGAAAAGAGTTAAGCAAGGATTAGATATTCCTTGGACTTAGCGGACTTAGCTTAGCGCGTATTAATCTGATGTTCGTGAAACTTGCAACTATTTTTCACCCTAATCGCCGTCGCTTAGCCATCCAAATATTTTCCAACATCAGCGCGCGGGATTTGTCTCGATTAAGGCCAGCCAGCCAGCCAGCCAGCCAGAAAGGGTTAAGGCCCGAACGGGTTAAGGCCCGAACGGGTTAAATGAAAACCCTTGCGCTGACATCTGATTTCATTTAAGGCGCAGCAAAGTCCATTTAACCATATACCCTGTTTTTTTCTTTGTCTAGCGTTTGGGGCAGAGGGCGGAGGTTGGCCAACAAATTGGCCAAATTTTGTTGAAATCACGCACAGCAGCTTTTCCGGTCTATGGAGTCCTTTCGCAGGACAGCGGACAGTTGTGGACATACCCCCCTCCCACTTCCTCTCTCTCTCTCTCTCTTCTATGGCACTTGTTATTGTTGTTATTATCGTGCGCTTCGTTTTGCAAATAAACAGCCAAACGAGTGTGCTACAAGTGTGCCAGAGCAGAGGGTTGAATGCGGTGAGAGGGGGGGGGGCCAGGGGCAGGGGCTGAAGGGGGAGTTTTGGTGGGAAATAGCGTATGGTTAACGACGGGTGGTTAACAACAGCAGCAGGAAGTGAGCTTAGAAGATAAGCTCTGCCCGGCTGCTGAATACCCTACAAAAATTAAGCTAACAATATGCTATACCTAGGCTGATATGTAGAGTATTAATTATTAATCTATTATTATCCAAGTTATTTTTATTATTATTTTATAATTAAATTATTCCTTTTATTATTTATGTATGTCAAATGTTGATGTTATGAGAATTGCATAGAAAGGTGCTATTTTTTATTGCTATCGATTTAAAATCGAATCAAATCGCAAATATTTTTATTATCCATTATTTTTGCAAGTCTTGATGCTATGAGAATTGCATAGAGAGGTGCTATTTTTCTAATTACTTACAAGTGTACTCAAGTCGCACTAGATATAATTAATTTTTTTGAAGGTATCTTCAGTTTCTTCTAATTTAAATAAAACTGACTAAAATTTGACCTCGGCTAGGACAATGCTTGTTGCTTTGCTAGCTGGAATAATATTTATGCCTCTTTCCCAAACATTAAGAGACTTTCGTTTAAGCGCAGCGCAACGACGCCTCAGAAATATAATAAAAATAATAAAACTGCTGTGTTGCCCAAACCAACCCAACCCTCTAGCCACCCGCCACTATGTTAGCACCCCTTTTGGGCTAACACTTGATAATTGTTGACAATGTGTTATAAACTGATTTACACGCATTTAACGAAAAGAAACACTGCCAAAACTCACGCAGCGCCAACACCAACATAAGCAACAGCAACAACAATGTGGAGAAGGTTGTTAGCGTCGACGGGCAACCGCTTAGATGTCATCGTTAGCTGATGTTGCTGCTGCCAAAGGGAGATCGGAATGGAAATGGACAGGGACAGGGGCAGGGGCAGCTGGTCGCGTGTGCCACGCGAGGGTGGCAACTTTAAAGGGGCAAGCATGATTTGTGTGCCATGCCGAGCCGTGCTGTGCTGTGGTCTGGTCTGGTCGGGTGTTGTTTGTGTGTTAATGAACTGCGTAACAATTAACAGCAACAACGAGCACAAATAAAGCGCAACAGCAGCAACAATAACAAAAAAAACAACAACAACACCCAAGAAGGGCCCTGCTGCTGCGGCTCAGCTTAAAAGTCAGTGGCCACGCACACGATTCCCATTCCCATTCCCATTCCGATTCCGATTCCCAATCCAAATCCCACTCCGTTTCCACAACTCACAAGCTGAGAAGCTGCTGTTGCTGCGGGTTCATTTGCGGATTTATTGCTGCATAATCGGACAACAGAAGCAAAAAAAAAAAAACGAAGCAAGCTCTTGGCTGAACAATGCTCGACGGGCAGATACCCTGTGCAATGTTCCAAATTTAGCTATTTTCTAGCTACAAGTGAAATTGTCTTGAATTTATCTATCTATCTATTTAAACCTATTAAGCATTTGTATTAACTAGTTGCGCTTGGAGTGCTATTCCAGACGATTTCATGTTTCGATTAGTTCTTTTACAATATTCTCAGAGACAATCAAATAACTGCTTGGCATAAATGCAGAATAAATAAATAAATTCAGAGTGGAAACAGAATAGTTAGACAACCTTCTGCCTGTTGCACATGCTTGCACAATATGCCCGCGTTAAACCAAATTATGAAGGCTACAGGGTATAAGAATAGAGAAAGTGAAAGAACATACCCTGGCTTGGTTGATTATGCTGGTGCCGTTTGGTCACTTGGTTCCACTGGCCGCTGATCCAAATCAATTTAATTGAGGTCCAGCATGGTGGGCCCTTTGGCCCGTCCTAATTTGTCTAATGTGTTGGCAGTCAATGGTTGCCCCTTGCCGAATGCCCACTGTATCAGTGTGAAATCTGTCCAATGACATGGGCTCTATCCGCAAGATCTGCAAAGGAAGCTTGGGTTACCAAGTGCAATTGAAAGGATGCCGGGGCAAGTAGACAAAATGCACAAGCAGAAGTTCGACTAACAGACAGTCAACATTTCGCAAAATTCCGATTGCAATTGTTGAAGAATTCCGATTAAACGTAATAGTTAATTAAATAGAGAGTTCTAGCTAAAGAGTATATCCATTTGTTGATTTGATCAGATTATTTAAATTAATATTATGCGTTAATAACAAGCTTTATTGATTTTTTAGTGACACCGAAGTTTTTGTTAATTTCGCGCCAAAGTGTGAAAAATGCACGGAATGTGGCAGCAGAAACTTTATCGTATTTCCCAAAAATGTTCTGTATTTAGTTTCAATTAATACTTAAAACCTTTATGGCATTTCTTATTATTAAGAATAAGATTTTGTTAATTCCACGTGCGGGGGTGGAAAATTCACGGAAAGCTGCTGCATAAGACTTATCGGAATTTACAAAATACGTCTGCTGTTGCTATTATTAATCACAAAAGTTGTATTCGTTTTTTAATAGTGAAATATATTTTTGGCTAATTCCACGCGTAGCTATGGAAAAATCACGGAAAGCTGCTGCATGAAACATATCTAATTTATCATGCGAACAAATGCAAACATATTTTCAAGAATCTTTCTCATTTCTATAACATTTCTCACAGCAAGGAAAGTGAATACTTTAAACTGGCAGCTAAGACTGGACGCGAGAAAAGCCGGGCTCCGCTCGCTATTAATTGCAGGGCATCTACACGATTTGATGTTTAGCTAAAGCCTTGCCTCATTAATGTTTCACCCGGCTCTTACTACCTATAGCACGATTTATGGAACTACTCGCCAAGGCTATGGACGTTAGTCATATGAGAATTTATAGTCATTTATCGTTGATTTATGTCTTCGGCTCTGGCTGCCGGCGACCCACAAAACTGACACTAAGCAGCTGAGTTACGTATTTAAATTTTGCGACACCATCGACCATATAGAAGCTATACCAGATATGGATGGGAAGCCTTGCAAGTTTTGGTCGGGCGTGTCACCTATATAGTGCTGGCACCCCCCTACCTCTCCCGATCCACCCCTCCAACGTGCTTCATGCGACCGCAGAGTGACCACAAAATGTGTTTTTAATTGAATGCGATGTGCGGCGGCTGCCCGGCTCGGTCAGACCTCAGATGAGGGCAAATGCACATTCAAATGTTTATTAATAAAATAATTGTTAACCCATGGCACAAATACTAATCAAATAATGGCAACACAAACGACAGCAACAACAATGAAAGCGCAATGAAAATATTTGACAACAAGCAAGAGTGCTACGGTCTCAAGTGTTCGACTAGCGGATACCCTGTGCCCCAGCTGTCCCCTACTATAGATATGTACTCTAGAGTAACTCAGGTATTTACAGTCTGATCTTTATCAAATTTTCAGGGATTGAATAGGGCATGCTAAGGTTTGGGCATACCAAAGCCAAAGACTATAAATCAGAAATGTATTCTTGAGTAACTTCGGTTCTTATAGTCCGATCTTTATGAAGTATTCAGGGCCTAAATATGGCATATGTTGAGGTTAAGTTTAATTCTTGTTTTAGTAGGAGGAGATATCCAATAAGTGAAATGCTCTTAGCCTTTATATATGCTACGAAGCACCGTTATAAAAGATATAATATAGCTATCTACTATAATCCTCGAGTTATTGGCAATGAAGAGAGAGTTTCTCTTGGTATAGGCGAATGAATATAACAATTTCTCCAGCTTTAGTTTTTGATTTGGAAGATGTTTTCTACTGGCTCTATACTACATAGGTACAAAAACAGCATACCCTTCTCGCCCATTTCGATTGGTTACAGGGTATTAATATTTTGTAGCGATACACAACAAACCGCCTGCATGTGGGTAGGTGGCCAGTTGACGGCTGGGCATATCTATATATCTAGAGTCTAGGCGAGTGACGAGAGTTGCTCTCTAATTAGTTTCTTTCATTATCTTGGCCTCTCTGTTGACCCGAATTTCAATTAAGTTAATTTACGCGCCGCACATCGTGGCGAGCGCGGGGGCACTACCGAGAATCAGACTGGGCCTCGGACTCGGACTCTGACACTGTTGCGCGACCTCTCAACGGAACCAATTCAGAATAATAAATAAATGTACTACATATAGTGAATGTGAATGAATAGTATTTAGCTGCTGCCGGCTTATTGTTGGCTGTATAAGAAATACTTTTGATCAAGAAAATACGCGCACAATTAAAAGAAATTATGAATGAGTATGAATAATGAATGCACTTGAAGTCGCACACTCATACACATACGATGACTGGACCCGCTCGATTGAGCCCCAAGAGAAACGGAAGTGAGTTCAGGCGGGTTGACAAGACGACACAGTCGCAATGCGCCTGTCAACTTGCCACATGAACTCCGATGTCAGAAATTGCAGATGCTTCCTCCAGCTGCAAGAGTTAACAATCAGATTCGAGACACGCGATTTTATATCTACCTCTTTATATCTATCTATCTATAACTTTATATCGCACCGATCTTTGTTCAAGAGCAACGCAGCCCTTAAACGCCAGAAGTTCGCTTGCGTCGAACTAGCAAGCTAGAAGTCGCTGGTTCGATTTCATCAACAAAGCGTCAGCATGCTAAACACAAAGTTGCGGCTCAAATTCATTTCTACCTCTTCGGTTCTTTCATTTGATTAATTTGTTTTACTCTATTTGAATTTCGTTGAGTATTATCCGAAATTTGGATTTAAAATTCCTCCCATTTAATCACATATCTTGTTCCCCAACATCTTGTTTTCTACTTTCCACGCATCTTCCACACTCAGCCTGCAGTAAGTTGTCTACCCTGAACTTATCTACTATCTACTTACAGCGTTTGTCTATTCATCACCTCGAGAACTCAATCCCTGCTAGAGACAAAAAGCAGCTAAAACCTCAACGCGTCGGGTTAAGCCTCAAAGAACAACTAACCGATCTATATACAATATATATAAAATATTTATATATACGATAAAGGGAGAGGGAGAGAGAGAGGGAGAGAGATACCTTTGAACTGGTTGGATGGGCTTGAATCATTAATGAAACTGGGCTTAGTCCTGCTCTGGGGCAGACTAAATGCACAAGAAGTGTAACAAACGGCACACGCAGCCCTCCGGGTGAGGTAGAAGAGACAAAGCCGAAAGGTAATCAGCTTGTGCAGACCGAGCCGAGAGCCCGGTGCTGTTTCTTGCTGCTCCTAGCTGCTCTTTCGACCACGTAATCCGTGCACTTAACCCGGGTAATAAGATAAGTAAGGCAGATCCGTTTTTCGGCTGCCGCAGCTTGTTATCTTTGTAAATTGCATGTCGAGCACTTAAGCCAATTCTCAAACTCGAAACTGGTTAAGCACAACAAGTCCACGCGTGCTGCCGCCGAGGGATCGCCGGAGTCCGTGTGATACAGTTAAAAGAAATCCCATCTAGCAGCTACTGGCAATAATTCTAGAATGCAGATCGCTGGGCAAACAAAAGCATGCTTTAGCGACTTACGACCAGTTCGAGATTGAGTCGGAGTCTAAAGCCGAGTTCCCTTGGCTTAGGTAAGTGGATTCAATCAGCAAATCTCGTGCTCCCGTCCAACAAATTGCCGAAATGTGTTAAGTATATAATGCGCTCATCCAAAACTATTTCAATAACAAGCGGCTACTTAAGCTGGGCAACTGCCCAATCAAACAATGCCTCGTTCCCTGTTTTCCAGTTCCCAACCGTTTCTCAACAGATCTTAAGTCGCCCGGCTAAGCTTGGCTTCTATATGCAAAATATTGGATGGCATATGGGACTTATGCGTGGGCCCGACCTTAACTCTTGCATGTGTTTTTGAGCCTTGCCTAAGCCCCAAATATTCGCATACAAATGAAAACATTCGGTTTGAAATGAACAAAAGGCGCGTTTGGATTAATGCACGGATATTGCGACCGATTAATTAGAATTCAATATAGAATGTATATTGAAAAGCTTAAGCGGAATATAAATTTTAAATATGTATTGTAATAATAATTGTAATAATAATTCTTGCAGAGTTTGAGCCAGCGATTTCTCGCGTATTAGTTCTGGCAACTAAGTACTGTTGACTTTCTTAAAATGTAAAGATTTGAAATACTTTAGACTCGATTTTCAATTAACCAAAACACACCAACTGTTAAACTGACTTCAGGCTTATAACAACTGTGCCCATTAATCCCCCCCCTCCCACCCATCCACCTCCTCAACATACCCTCACTCTTGACAGGCAGCCAGTGGTGCTTGGCACCCAATAAAACTGCCAGCTAATCGTTTCAATAACATGATTTACCCACAAACAAAACCCAAAACAGACACAGAGTCCAACAATAATTTACAATTATTGAAAATGAAAGAAGGAAAATGGATGAAAATGAAGCAGATGAAAATACGAGTATGATAATTGCTACCGAAACCGACGCTCACTCGCACGCAACTGACTAACGATGATATTAATTATCATTTTCTCAAACAAATCGATGAGCGAGCGAGAGAGAGAGAGAGAGAGCGACAATGAGAGAGAGAGAGAGAGGCAGAGATGGGGAGAGTGAGAGAAAAGCGCAGTATTTATGATATGAGCGAGCCTTGTTAGAAGAAGAACTTGTTGATGCCAGCGATGAGCATGATAATGACAATGATAATGTTAATGACAATGATAATGATGATGATGTTTGTTCTGATGATGTTGATGCTCCGTTTTTCTCACATGTTGCGCACTTAACACACACACACAAACACACACACAGACACAGCTGTGATCACAAGTGATCAAAGCGCTGCTGCCGCACAATTTTTAGCTCTGTAAATTTTGGAATATTCGAAAATGAAGACATCAACATTTTGGGCACAGAACAAAACAGTTTGAGAAATTTCAACAACGCCTTCGCCAGCGCTAGAGAGCGAGAGAGAGAGTGAGAGAGAGTGAGAGAGAGAGAGAGAGACAGTGAAAAAAGTGGCCCCGCTTGGCATTGTCGGTGCCCTTTTTGCTAGGGTTCTCATCTTTCACTTTTACCCAGGGCATATTAGTTGAAAAATTGTATAACAAAAGTTAAGAAAAATTGTTGTATTTACACACACACATGTGTGTGTGTGTGTGTGTGTGTGTGTGTGTGTGTGTAGGCAAATAGACGTGTGCTGGCTGAGACAATGGCCTGGCTGGAACTGGACCCCGGCAAGGAGTCCTCCGTGCAGGGTTCGGGCTAGTTGGGTTACCTGCGGTGCGGGGCACAGCTGGAGTTGTCACTGGGCATGTAAAGAGCCAAGAAATTGAGACAACAACACGACAACAACAACAACAACACCTTAACTGATCGCCCCTTTTCTCTCTCGGCGCGCAGCTTCAAACAAATCTCATGTTTGCCCACTAATTAAGTCATCAGGCAGCTAAAAGCAGCTAAAAAGGCAGCTAATAGCTGAGCCAAGGCAGCTAGATATGAAAAAAACAATTCATTTCAAAGCTAAAACTAGCGGCAAGTGACTAAAAGCGGCCAAAGTTCCAAGAGAGAAGCTTAAAAGAAGCAAAAGCAGCTCGAAATAAGTCAGGAAAATGTTAAGAACTGCTTAAAGTAGCTAAAAGTAGATAAAATTGCTAGAAAATAGCTAGAAACAAGAAAATGTAGCCAAACATAAATCAAAGACAGCTAAATAGTATTAAAACTTAGCTTGAAATAAATTAAGATCGCTTGAAACAAGTTAAGAACTGCCAAATATAGCTGAAAATGTTTTAAAACTTTCTGAAAATTCAAATAATTTATATAAAAATTAAACGATATCAAGTTTTTTGTTCATTTAAAATGTTTTTTATTTTTTTAAGAGTATTTAATAAATATGTTTGTTTTTTTTTTAATTTATTTCTAATGTAGCCAAACTACAAGCCGCCGTGCCGAGTGCTGGGCGGCGGAGCAGCTGTATTTGAATTGTATTTGTTTTTTTTTAGCCTGGGGCGCTGCTACTCAAATGCTAGCCAGAAAGCTAACCGGCTGTCCAGGCCGGCGCTGGACACAAACAAATTTGTTGGCTCCTGCTAAATGCAACATTCAGACGTCAAAGGGGATTGTGTGTGTGTGTGTGTGCGGCTTCTTGCTGTTGACAACGACGGCGGCGGCGGCGGCTTAACCAAAGCCTTGTCCCATTAAACCAAAACGCTGGGCGTGGCAAATGCGCCGGGCGCCTTAGCTGGCCGGAAACTTGCCAAAGAACTGCATGCGCTGGAACAGCTCGGCGTTCATCGGATAACCCTGCAGCTGGGGATGGGCGGCGGCAGGTGGCGGCGGCGGCGGCGGTCCAGCGGCTGATGGATACTGCAGCTGTGGCTGTCCATAGGCAGCCGCAGCAGCAGCAGCCGCAGCAGCCGCCTGATAGGCAGCCGGATTCATGCGCTGATACAGTGCTGCGGCGGCGGCAGCGGCTGCGGCGCCCGCAAAAGGCATGCCCGGATAGCCATAGCCCGCCGGAGCACCATAGCCGCCGGCGAGCATGGGCGAGAAGATGGCCTGACGGTAGGCGGCGAGACGGGTGCGACTGGCGCCGGGATTCTTGCGGCGCAGCTTGCCGGTGGTCTCGCCAATGAAGACCTCCTCGGCGGAGGGGTCCAGAATCCAGTAGTTGCCCTTGCCGGGATCATCATAGCTGCGCGGTATTTTGGTAAAGCACTTGTTCAGGCTCAGATTGTGGCGTATGGAGTTCTGCCAGCCGCGCTTGTTCGCCTTGAAGTACGGAAACCGATTGATCAGATACTGATAGATGCCATTCAATGTGAGTCTCTGCTCGGCGCTGTCCTGTATGGCCATCATGATGAGCGCATTGTAGCTGTACGGCGGCTTCTTGTTATCATTGCTGCCGGCGCTGAGCTTCTGCTTCTTGCTGGGATTGCCCGTATGCTCGCTGCTGCCATCGCTGTCCTCCTCGCCGTCGAGCTCGATGTCCTCATCATCGAATTCCTCCACATCCAGCTTGTCATTGTGCTGCGATGACAGCGATTCGGCGGCGCTGCTCATCGGCGTGCTGGTCCTCGAGGGGCTATCAAAGTCTTCAGAGGCGGACAGTTCACCGTCAGAGTTGGCATACGGATGCGGATGATAAGGGTGTGTTTGATGTGGCATTGGCTCGTGCTTGATCACGGCTGCATTGCTTGGTTTTTTGGCCAAAATGGCATCGATGGAGAAATTGCTCTTGAATTCCATTTTGCAGACACTTTTCACCATATTTGCAAAAGATTTATCAACAATTTTACTGCTATGTTACGAAACACACGTTTCTAACTGTTTGTGGCGTTGTGCACGTTGCGAGGCGTCGCTCAATACTGACTCTCTAAGCCAGCGCGGCGCGCTATTTATACGCAGCGCTGCACTGAGCGCGTCTCACGCACACATGCGCACGCTGCAGTGAGCGCGTCTCACACGCACACACACACACACACACACGCACGCACGCGCTCAGAGAGCGCGCACAGGCTAGGTAGACAGCACAGCATTGACTCCGCCTCTCGCTCAAACCGGTTTGGCTGACCATTTTGTTCCACTTGCCATCCACACACACGCACACACGCACACTCTCGCACACACACACACACACACACACTGGGCTGTTTGTTTTTGGTGCTGGCTGCCGTTTGTTTTGGAACTTGTGGATGTTTATTTGCAGCCCTTTGCTTGGCTCGGCGTCAAAATATCCATTACATCCAATCCAAACAGGGGTTGCTGCGCCGCTCAGCTTGTAGGCGTATGGCTGTTGATTATACACACACACACACACACACACACACAGACTCTCTCTCGCTCGCTCGCGAGCTCCCTTTCTAGCTGCCGCGTCTTGTTTTGATTCAGCATATTGCACAGTTAATTGCTATAAAAAAAGGCAGCAACAACAACAGCAAAAAATTGCACTTTAATCAAACCAGAAATTCACGGAATTTGCGCTTAATCCAGTCGCGAAATTAGTTCAGTCTCTCTCACTCGCTCTCTGCCTGTGGGATTACTTGACAATCCACTTGGGCTTAAAATTTTTGGCCGATTTTCGCTGATTTGCAACAGCTCAATGGAGCTCAAGTGGCAGGTAATCCCCTGGCATGTAAAGGGTTAAGCATGTGCCACACGGATTTGTTCTACTTTCGCAGCAGATTTATTAAATCGCGCTTCTTCAGAATTTGCCCTTCACGATTCTTGGCCATTCGATATGCACATTTGGCAATGGATCCAAGCAAACACTTGCCACATGTATATACAAATATACAGACCTAAAAGTAAGCTCTGCTGATGTTAGTTACTGACTTTGCTCAGATTTGCAAAAGGCTTGAGCCAAGATATAGCTAAGCAGCCAAGCGAGGGAGAGAGGGAGTTGAGAGAGATCAAGAGCTAAATATTTTGATCTGAACATTAAAAATAATTGCTTAAGCCAAGGGTATTAAAATATTAAGACTGTCCTTAAAAGTAATCGAATGTTTATGTATTTTGTGTTTATACTGAGCACAAATCTCAGCCTTTTTTTTTATTGAAGCTAAGAGAGTTTTTATTGTACATTAAAAACGAAAGAAATATACAAAAATATTTCTCAGAATTTTCTGCATAATAGTTATGTGAGAAAATCTTGCAAGAGTTCAACACATATGAAACATGAATATTGTGAAATTAAAGAACGAAATAATATTATTATAAATATTGAAAATTGTTAGGTACAAAAAAAATTTTAGTCAAAATATTGAAAAGTGTCAAAATGGCATTTAGACTATTAAACTATTAACAAATAAACAAAAGTTCTTCATTTGAACAAAGAAAGTTTAGATTTTGTTTAGTCGAGAAGTCGAGAAAAACAGGATACTGTAGGGTATGCGAGCTACCTGTTAAGCGAGCACCATAAACTTGTGCTATAAAGCCAGGTCATAAAGCCAGTCATAAAGTACTAGATACACATATACCTAGAAGTTAAGAGCGGGATTCATTCAAAGCTAGCTAGATTTATCAATAAAGCAAAGATTTGGCGGGGCACAAGCACCCAGATTCTCCTCCAGTTTCTCAGCCCGCTCAGATGCCTCACTCGATGCATGCCAAATGCCAGGCAAATGTGGCCCACACACCGGCGATCGATCATGGGCATTGTTCGTCCATGAAATCGGCAAGGTACCAGAGCTCGACAAAGGCGCAAAGAAGAAGTGCGAGTTGAGCGCGACAAATGCCGCAGGCGAATGTGTCCTTTTTATCAACAACAACAACAACAACAACAACGAAGCGAGTGTCCTGCCGCGTCCGGGCCCAGGAACTGGACGCTGTTGACAGGCCCTTTGCACATTACGATCAATTATGAGACTCAATGCACTCCGGCGGCGTAACGAATCCGGCTGGAGTCCCCGTTAGTTTGCTTCCCCCCGCCCGTGCGAATCTTGTGGCGTTAATTCAAAATTACATGCACATTGTGCCCGGCTGGCAACTACTCGGAATTTCATCTCTTTTTTTTTTTTGTTTTTGGTTTTAATACGCCAGGCGTGGCCGGACAAGCGTGAAGCTCGCCTAAGTGTGGTCTGGCAATGAAACCATAATGTCAACCAACAGGCGGCCACATCCTGGCCCTGACAGCGTGGAGCAAGTAGCCCTGATCACCGATCATCAACTGTGACACATCCGACTCGCAGCCAGCCTGATGGCCATGCCAAAAAAACAATCCACCGAACTGCTTCACGCATCTCGCAACAGGTAGCTTAAATGCGGCACAAAGTGCACATTATTGAAATCGAAATTGATTTCAACACTCCGTAACGAAGTTATACGAAGAGTTGTCTTACTTTTTTATAGGGCAACGGTTTATATAAGAAGGCAGCATATCCGAGCTGATAAAGTCGCAATATCTCGAGAACTATATATATAAGAAACTTGAAATTTGGAATACATATGCTCTATTACCATAAAGAGCAGAAGGTATATATAACCGAGCTAATAAAGTCGGTCGATCTCGAGATCTATGTAAGGTAGAGATTACAGATATTTGGGATACGTATGCTCTATTACCATAAAGAGAAAAACTATGTATCGAGGAGTAGAAAGATATATACGAGCTGATAAAGTCTGTCGATTTCAGAAACAAAATGTATGGTAGAGATCATAGATACTTGGGATACGTATGCTCTATTACCATAAAGAAAAAAGCTAGATACATTGGGCAGAAGGAAACATCTCCGAGCTCATAAAGTCATTCGATCTCGGGAACTATGCATTTTAGCGACTTGAAATTTTGAATACGTAAGCTCCATTAACAAAAACAGAATGTATTTAATATTACGTTTCGATATCTTCTACAATTTTTAAAATATTGCCAAATATCGCTTTGAAGACGTGGTTATTTAGTCAAAACTCGAGGAATCTAAGAGCTAAATATGTCAAACTTGGCGTGTAGTTTCCTTTTAAGCATGTGAGACTATGAGAATTTCATTTTGTGGATATCACTAACCATTTCCAAAACAAATCGTAGAATAATAATAATTTTATAGTTAGAGCCTTGCGCCTTGGTATACACACACTTTTTTATACCTTATTAAGGCACCTAAAATTTATAAAGATGGAACCATAAATACTCAAGTTAATTCAGAAAGATTTTCCTATATAGAATCTGGGGCAAAGGGTACAAGCAGCAGAGCCTGTACATGAGGTGTGTGTGTGTGTGTTTGTATTTCTATAAAAAAATGTATTTTAATATTACAAATGTTTTTGGTCATAAAAATCAGATCAAAGCCCCAAGCTCCACTTTATAATTGAAAGAAATATTTAAAGTTAATAACGAATAAATAGGAACTAAAATTAAGATAAAAACATTTGTTTTAAATGCAGTTTCGAGCATTTTTGGTTATTTGGCAGCAGCTGAATGCGCGTCTGCGTCTGTGTGGGCGAGCATTTTGAGGATCTGTCTGCTTTGAGCCGTTTTGAAATCAATTAGTTTTGTCGCGGCTGTCAAAATGCGCCAGGATCAGGCTGTACGCACACACACAGACACACACACACACACACGAACAGAGCCTAGGTAAAAGTCGAAAAGTCATGCTTGCAACATGCTTAGCCGCAGTTGCAGTTGCAGTTGGCCGCAGTCGGCGCTGCCTTTGAACCGGCGACCGCTGGTCATGGCATTTGCAAAAATTTCCAACTCAATTAGTTGAACTCTGCCCACGCCAAGTAAAAAATACAAATATATATATATATATATAAATAACTATATAAAAAGAAAAGAGAAGCCGCTTGGGCCACAAAAGAGAAATGAAAATTCGAGGCGTTCAAATCTACATTTATCCTCGGCCGGGAAGGGGCGTGGCGCGGGGTGCGGGCATCTTTTCTTTTGGTTTTGGTTTCTTTCACCGGCAACCTTTCAACTTTGCCGACTGAGTGCATCATTATCAACGGCAATTGGACTACTGCGTCAAAGTGCGCTGCCTACTTCTTTTTTTCTTCTTTTCCACTACAGCTCTTTAATATACCCTACAACTGTAGGGATAGTATAATTATGTGCTGAAATATGTAAGGCACAGAAGCAATGATTTTTCTTTTGAAAGCGTATATATATGTAACTAATATACTTATTTATCTATATATCTGTCCATCTATCTATCTATCTACCTATCTACTTATCTATCTCTTTGTCTACCTATCTATCTAAATATCTACCTATCTATCATCTATCTATCTATCCACCTGTCTATATGTCTTCCTTTCTATCTATCTATCTATATATCTGTCTATATATCTACCTATCTATCTATCTATATATCTGTCTACATATCTACCTTTCTATCTATCTATCTGTCTCAAGATATATTTTCTAAATTCTAAATTCGATTAACAAGCTTTATCATGCTCTCATAATAATTTAAAATTTTATCTTTATCAGACTGGTATATTATAAAGTTCTATATAAAGCATCGCTTAAGAATTATGCTTAGAAATGAAATACCTTTCTTGTTTTTCCCAGATATCTTTAGCAAAAAAAAAAACATCTAAGGGCTCTATAATACTTTTCACGTGTGAGAAATAATCTTAGCAACAACGAATTACTATATTATATAGCTTTATAGGAAGTATCCAACGAAAATATGGATTTGAAATGAACAATATTTTGGTTTCTCTATGATATCTTGAACAACGCACTTACGAGTTGTATCATGCTCTTTACATACAAGCAATATATTGCCAAGAGCGAGGTACTTTGTTATAAATAAAGGAAGAATCAGTTGCAATCAGTATTCGCAAAACCATATCAAATCGTAATAGATCCTATATATTCATTATTATATCTATTAATATGATGGAAGAACATGTAGTTGAACTTCTTTAGCTACAATTAGT